GTTTAACTCTCTCCCTCTATGCAATTGATAGAGAGAAAATAAAGTATCTGATTTGCTGTACCCAAACAAAAAGTGAGAACTCGGTTATTCTCCGACACCAGTTAACATCAAATTAATGTAGATATTAACGTTGTTCATAGTACAGGAATCTTGGCATTTAGCCGTGAAAGCAATATGGTAGTGTGCCTCAGTTTCCCTTTTCATACAGCACATCAGGTCTGGAATGTCTTTTCCCCTGTGAAAAGTTCCAAGACTGTTCACAGGCATTAACCGTGAAACATCCGTATAACAAGGCCTTTGAACATAACGTGTGTTCTCATGTATTCCTTTTAACATGTTCAAAGGCTTTGGCAAAAGATTAGGCCCATGGTACATTTTTACAGTTTTTGGTAATAGCAACACTAGGGTTACCATCCGTCCGTATTTCCCCGGACATGTCCGGCTTTTGCGTCTCTAAATAGCCGTCCGGGAGGAATTGGTAACAAGGTTAAAATGTCCGGGGGTTTTTTCTCCCTCGCCTCCCTCCCTCCCTTCCATGCAGAGTGTGGCTGCTGATTGGGCGGCTAGGCCGATTGACCCACTCCCATTGGCCTCCAGCAGCCAGAGCCCTCCCCTGCTCCCCCCTCCCTCTCTCTGTAGTCCTGTGTAACACACAAACCGACCCACGTGGAGCCAGAATGGTAAGAGGAGTGGGGGGGGGGCAGTCAGGGAGTGGGGGAGTGTTGGATGGGTCCCCAGCCTCCACCTGCCACCCCCCCTCCGTGCATTCCCCCCTCGGTGGGTCCCCCATCCCTGTCTGCCTCTCCCTTGTCTGCTGTGCTGGCTCTGGCAGTACACGCAGACAACTGCTGTCTGCTGCCCCCGGGTCCTAGTGCCCCCTTCCACTATTGGGAGGACAGGCTGCCCTTACCCTGCCCTTCCACCCTAGCCCTGAGCCTCTCCAACACCCCAAACCCCCCAGCCTTCATCCCCACACACCCTAATCCTCTGCTCCATCCCTGATCCCCCTCCTGCATCATGAACCCCTCATCCCCAGACCCACAGCCTTCACCCCTGCATCCCCTCCTATCCCCAAACTCCCTCCCAATCCCCCTCCCTCTTCCCACACACCCCCTCCTGCCCTCAAACTTCCTCCTAAAGCCTGCACCCCCTCCCTTTGCACCGCCTCTCACCCCCAAACTCCATCCCAGAGCCTGCCCCCCTCACCCCCTCCGGCCCTCAAACTCCCTCCCAAAGCCTGCACCCCCTCCCTTTGCACCGCCTCTCACCCCCAAACTCCATCCCAG